CCACCGTGCCCGGCCAAAAAGATTCTTAAAAATGAAAACATAGTGACAGAAAGTACATCAGTGATTGCCTAGAGATGGGGGACATATGGAGGGATGAGAGGGGATAAGAGGAAAGAATTACAAAACTGCAATAGGAAATTTTGGGGGCTGGATAGATAGATTTGCTGTCTTGATTATGGTGATGGTTTTCCTATGGGTGAGTATATGTGTGGTTTGTGTATAAATTTATCAAACTGTACATTTTAAAATGTACCATTTAGGCCGGGCGCGGTGGCTCACGCCTGTAATCCTAGCACTTTGGGAGGCCGAGGCGGGCGGATTGCTCGAGGTCGGGAGTTCGAAACCAGCCTGAGCGAGACCCCATCTCTACTAAAAATACAAAGAAATTAATTGACCAACTAAAAGTATATATACAAAAAATTAGCCGGGCATGGTGGTGCATGCCTGTAGTCCCAGCTACTCGGGAGGCTGAGGCAGGAGGATCGCTTGAGCCCAGGAGTTTGAGGTTGCTGTGAGCTAGGCTGACGCCACGGCACTCACTCTAGCCTGGGCAACAAAAGTGAGACTCTGTCTCAAAAGAAAAAAAAAAAAAAAAAAAAAAAACAATGTACCATTTATTGTATGTCAGTTATACCTAAATAAAGCAGTATTTTCAAAACTAAACACTTGAAAAATTAAACACTTCTGAGCTCATATATTCAGGTGCCTGGGATTCCAGACCACAGCCCACTGGATGGGGACCACCAAACCAGAAAATGGACCAGCTTGAACTTGGCCCCATGCAAAGGTGTTCTTAGAATGCAACTCTCTCCCAACACTCATTCCACGGTTGAACCATCCCATACTCCAGACTGTTACCTACTTTTAGAGACAATGCAAATATTTCAGCAGTCCCTTGAGATATTTCATGAGATGTATCTCCCTTGCTTGGACAAAAACCTATTGACTGGAAGCTCCCAGAGGCAAACTTCTGAAGCTCTCTGTCTTTGAGAAACCCAAGCCTGCCATATTCACAAGCAACAAGAGGGGCCTCACATTCTAAGGTGACTACCTCAGATGTTTCAACATACCTGGGGGGGTGGGAGGAAGGAATCCTGCTAAGCATGAATGCCTTTTGTCTTAATAGCATCCTGATACCTTGAGGATGGTCTGTATTCTTTCTTATAAGACAGGCCCAAACCTGTCTTTAAAACAAACAAACAAAATAATAAATGTAAGGTATTTTTCCCTCCTCTTGGTCATGCTGAGTAATGAATGAATTGTACCAACATTAAAATTATAAACTTTTTATAAGGGAAATATTCCAAAGACACAGAAAACGAGAGTGGGGTGGAATAACATAACTACCATATGACTAACGAAATAAAATGCTACAAAGAGCTGAAAGTCCTCGCATACCCGTTCATGACTGTATCTCTCTCCCCACACCTCCAGCAACCATTATCCAAAAGTTTTTTTATTGCATATGTAAAAGTTTATGTAAATAGTATCATACATATGTATATCTCTGTGATGTCTTTTTCTGCTCTACATTATGTTGGTAAAATTAATCCAAGGGGATAGACTTGTCAGAGGTGCCTCTGGGGCTGAATCCACCCCCCCTTGGCCCACATGAAATTTCAGCCACAGCTGTGGTGGACAGCGTTTTACCAGCTCAGATACCACCCCAGGACCATTTGCCAACCCAAGAACATGCTTGCAGAGGCTGGATGCATGGGTGCCAAGCCTGGAAGTTCAAGGGAATTAATGCCTCCATCCCTGGGGAACAGGTGCTGGTGGATCTCCAGCTTCCTGTCCTTCCTCAGGGGACAATTCCAGAGGCATCTATACACTTCTCAGGGCGTCCCAGGAGAACTGAGCCCCTGCTGCCCACAGCAGCAGCCTTGATAATTCATCCTAATATGAGTTTCTCCTCCTTCCCTGTCTCACTAACTATCTTCTCCCTCCTGCTTCCAGAGGTCACGTCCCAAAATAAACCACCTCTACTTGGGTGCAGATCCTTATATCCAGCCCTGCTCTCAGAACCCTAACTAATCAGAGTTTTAGTGTATTCATTTTTATTGCCCTGTATTCCACTTACAGTGACACAATTTATTTTAGAAAGATATACCCTTTATTATGGGACTGTTATTTAAAAATCATGTCTTAAATTAATATTTAATGATAAAAATTATCACCAAGAGAGGGAATATCAAACTATGTCTACTCTGGCTCCTGAGCTGTTTATAAAATGTATTATGCAGACACATGTAGAGGAAACCAAATGGGAATGTTAACAATTCCTTTGTTATCTCTGGGCAGTAAAACTACAGGCAATTTTTTTTCCTTTTTTAAAACTGATTTTCCCATTTTTATCCAAAAAAAGTATTACTCCTAACAAGGAAAAAATAAATGGTAGAAAAATGATATGCAATTGACATCAGTAAGATTCCTAAATTAATCAGCACAGACAAGGGGGTCTTCTGGGAAGAAGGAGGCGGGAATCCCACAGTGACAAGAGGGTCTGGCCTGGGTATAGAACAAAGGGACTGGGCAGAGAAATGGATGAGGGAGCCTGCAGAGTAAAGCACAGACTTTTCCCATCACATTCCCCCTGGCCCCCAAGCCCTTCTATTCCCCTTTTCCGATACCATTAGCTAAAACAGAGCCACAAGCATCCAGCCCCCTTTGCCTTTCCTTCTAGTCAGGAGTCTGGATCCAGCCTCTCAGACACAACCTGTGGGCCTGGGGAAGAGACACTACGTCCAGTTCTGGGAAAGCCTGATTGGTCTGTGGGTAATCCATCCCCCACGCCATCTATGGCTCAAAAATGATCATGTGATCCAATTTGGGCCAGTGAGACCTAAGGACAGGGCTGCCAGATTCTCCTGAGAGGGTGCATCCTGGCTCTTAAGAACTCCCAGAAACTGTCTTTCAACCTCACAGAACTCTCTACTATAGAAAACCACAGGAAAGCCAGCTTTAGGGTTAACGAAACCAACAGAGCAGAGACCCAAAGAACCTGGGCCCTTGATGATGTCACTGAGCTAGCTACTAGCGCCCTGAAGCCCATAACCTGCTCTCTAACTGGGCTTGCTGGCATCAGCCCATCTATTTCCTTCTATGTGAGCCAGTTTTTGCAGTGAGAGGATTCTAAGTGCCCAACCTCCCTCCTTGAAACTATCCTGATTCAACCCATACACAGTGTCTTAGGGATCATACCCCGCTTGTCCCAAACCCTATATCCCTTCTGAATGTCCTGACGCTGTCAGCATGATCTAACCACACTCCAGACCTGACATCCCCTCCACCCTGAGCACGACCAGCCTAGACTAATATAAACCTGACCCTTTCAATTAGGGAAGTGTGGGATTACCCATTAGCACTTCCTGACTACTCCCTATGCATCAACCACTCTACAGTTTCACTCATTAAACCTGCACACCCACTCTTTCAGGCAGAAGCCATGATTATCCCATTTACAGATGAGAGCAGAGAGCACTGAGGCCTCAGAGCAGGCCTACAACCCACACAGAAAACCCCAGATTTGCCCTAAGACTCCCAAGTCCTCATTCTTAACCAACACTATCCTTCTCCCAGAGACTCCAGAGAAAGAAATGGGCCCTAAGCTACCAGGTAAACAGAAAAATCAGATAATTCAGACTCATATCCCATTATCTCAAAGAACACCATTCATTCCTATAGATTATCAGTAAGAGGCATTTCAGAGGTCTGACATAGGTATATATCTTGCTTTGTGCAAACTACAGGACATGCTAATCTGAGGGGGTAAATGAGTGTTGCTAAGAGTAAATCAGGACCGGGTGAGGTGGCTCCCGCCTGTAATCCTAGCACTCTCGGAGGACGAGGCAGGCGGATTGCTCGAGGTCAGGAGTTCGAAACCAGCCTGAGCAAGAGCGGAGACCCCGTCTCTACTATAAATAGAAAGAAATTAATTGGACAACTAATATACATAGAAAAAATTAGCCGGGCATGGTGGCGCATGCCTGTAGTCCCAGCTACTCGGGAGGCTGAGGCAGCAGGATTGCTTGAGCCCAGGAGTTTGAGGTTGCTGTGAGCTAGGCTGACGCCACAGCACTCACTCTAGCCTGGGCAACAAAGCGAGACTCTGTCTCAAAAAAAAAAAAAAAAAAAAAGAGTAAATCAGGCCATCTTGTTTTATCTTATCCATTTACAATTGACACAGACTCCAAGAGAACCCAAAACTCAAATCAACTTTTAGGGAAAAAAATTAGTCACCATTACATAAAGGGTTAAGATGGATCATCATCATAACACCATAAAAACAAACAACAACACAACTCTAACATATTTAGAGTTTCTCTAGAATCATTCTGACTGACATAGGTTTATTGTATATTTGACATAAAATTCAAATTAAAAAGAAAAACATTTTCTAAACAACTCTCATTCATAGATCCCTACACACATTACAGAATGTAGTCCTGTGGTTTTCCTATTAAATCCCTGCAGCCTGCTCTGCTCTTCATTTACACTCTATCTACACCTGTGCCCGCCTCTCCCCAACCAGACCACAAGCACCCAAGGTCAGTGATAAGCCCACATTCCCTCTACACTCCTAGCCCTGCAGACCCCTGGCATATGTTGAAGGCCGCACAAGTATCTGAACAAAGCATCTACATAGAACTACTCTGAGCGCTTGGTCACACTCAGCCAAGTTACTTGGCATTGCAGAGAGATGTTATTCTCCTCCCAATTCTTTCTCAATCCTTCTGACCAGGGCCGGGCATGGTGGCTCCCGCCTGTACTCGGAGGCCGAGGTGGGCGGATTGCTTGAGGTCAGGAGTTCGAAACCAGCAAAAGTGAGACCCCGTCTCTACTAAAAATAGAAAGAAATTAATTGACCAACTAAAAATATACATACAAAAAATTAGCTGGGCATGGTGGCGCATGCCTGTAGTCCCAGCTACCTGGGAGGCTGAGGCAGGAGGATCACTTGAGCCCAGGAGTTTGAGGTTGCTGTGAGCTAGGCTGACACCACGGCACTCACTCTAGTCTGGGCAACAAAGTGAGACTCTGTCTCTAAAAAAATTTTTTAAAAAATCCTTCTGAGCAGGTCAAAGAGAAAGGCTAAGTGTGGTGCTAGGTTACCTTCAACACCTCTCCATCTCCTGCTCATTTCCCCTCTTAACCAAAAGAGAGTAGGCCTCATGCTGATAACAGGCAATGGTGCTGGCTGGAATTTAATAACTGGGTTTATTTATGGTTACCTTCCATTTACCTAGTGACACTGCTTTTCCATTATGATAGTGACACAAAATCTCCTTTTCAAATACATTTGTTTTAAAAGTGAGGCAGCTGCAGGGGAAAATAATATTAAGTGAAAAATGAAATAGACTTCTCAGTCAACGCTGCCGGTCGCACCACCCGCCCAGTGCCCGCTGCCGCCATAGAAGTGCAGGTGGAGACCATCTCCCCCAGGGACGGGCGCACCTTCCCAAAGCACGGCCAGACCTGCGTGGTGCACTACACCAGGATGCTTGAAGATGGAAAGAAATTTGATTCCTCCCGAGACAGAAACAAGCCCTTTAAGTTTATGCTAGGCAAGCAGGAGGTGATCCGAGCCTGGGAAGAAGGGGTTGCCCAGATGAGTGTGGGTCAGAGAGCCAAACTGACTATATCTCCAGACTATGCGTATGGCACTACTGGGCACCCAGGCATCATCCCACCACACGCTACTCTCATCTTTGACATGGAGCTTATGAAACTTGAATGACAAGAATGGCCTCCTCCCTTAGCTCCCTGTTTTTGGATTGGCCATGGAGGGATCTCGTGCCTCCAGACGTGTGCACACGAATCCATATGGAGCTTTTCCTGATGTTCCACTATACTCTGTATAAACATCTACCCCGACTGAATGTGTTCTGTCACTCAGCTTCGCTTCCGACACCTCCATTTCCCCCTCCCCTTCCTCCTTGTATGTGTGTTTACCTAAACTATATGCCATAAACCTCAAAAAAAAAAAATGAAATAGAGACAGTCATGGGATACAGTAAAATAGTAAAAGTGGTTCTTTTACAAATGACTGAAGTTTAGGAAACACAGACCTCGTCCCATTCTCCCATTTTATAGATGGGGAGAAAGGTTCAGGGAGAGGCCCAGCGATGGCAGAAGTAGGCCCAGGAATGAGAGTCAGTTTCTGAGTCCTGCCATCTGCCTGGGACCTGCAATCTTGCCAAATCCAGCATGCCTGAACCTTTCCCAAAACCAGAAACTGGTCCCTGGAAGGAGAGTGGACTAACACCTGCTGATCGTTCTGATAACAGCTAACCTATGCTCAGCTTTAATAGCTGGAGAAACAGAAGCCATTCTGCAAGTGTTTTAAATTTTTGTCATGTGGAAAAAGTACCCAGGCTGACTAATACCTTCCCATTATTAAAACATAAAGAAAGATCCGCATTAGTCACTACTCAAGTAAACTCACACAAGTTCTACCTTTAGGAAAGGTTTGGGCGTTCCCTAGCCCCACGAGAGAGGGCCTAAAAATGATCCTCAGTAACCCTGAAGTATTGGAAGTCTGACCCAACCGTGGAAATAACAGGCAGCTTGTGTCCGAGGGGCAACGGGGAAGCAGGTGGTACATGCAAGACACAGGCCCCTCTGCCTGGCAGGGCACAGACTCCTGAAGAGGACTGAGAGAGCCGCCCTCAACCTCCCACACCCACCCACACCCACTCTGGTCTCAGGACCCACAGAACTCACTGTCAACAGCCTTGTCTGGCCACCTAGCCCTGAAACCTAGGTGCTGTCTGTGCAGGCTACAATCCAGAAGTCCAGTTTCCAAGCACTAACAACTGTAAAAACATTGTCACCAGCTCCAAGGCATGAGGTTGGACAGTGCTGGAGTTTAAGGCTACACCCAGGGAAGCAAAAATCTTGGCAGGTGGCACAGGCAGCCCCACCATGATCCCAGATGTCAAAGGGCCAGAGAAAGCAGTGTGCAGGGCCAGGGCAGGGATGAGTTAGACTCCTGGGGGCGGGAGCAGCTAGTGCAGCCCCACTTTGCTCCAGCTGAAAGCGCACAAGGCAGTCAGCACAGCCCCAGCCTCAGCAGGGACCGACGCTGAAGATCTCCGGGTGTCCTTCCAGCTCCGACTTCTTCCTCCTGCTCCACCAAGCCCTGAAAAGAGAAATAGGAGCCACCACATGGCATTAAGATGAAGACTTATTTTTCCAAAGGTAAGTGGTAGGTGTAGGGCCCTGCAGCACTAATGCTGATGCTAACAATATAATCTCAGCAGCAGTAATTTACTGAACATTTACTACAAGCCAGGCTCAGGGCCAAGAGCTTCAGATGCACATTCTCTTTTATTCCTCAGCCCCCCAGCCCCCCCCCAAGGCAGGACATTTTCTAATATTATCACATTTTGCATATGAAAGACAGGCTGCTGGAGGGTAGCAGCTTCCTGGGGTTGGACAACTAGAAAGGAACAGAGCCAACTAGAAAGGAACAGAGCCAACTAGAAAGGAACAGAGCCAAGACTCAGACACAGGAGCAAACACAGGAACAGGAAGTTACAGCTGCTTCCAGCCACTTCCACAAGAGCCTCCTTCCAGAGGGTGGTCTGAGAAAGGCAAAAAAACAAGAAAGAAAGAAATAGGAAAGGGCATTCCAAGAGACAAAAAGAATGGAAGAGAGCCTGGCGCGGTGGCTCAGGCCTGTAATCCTAGCAGTCTGGGAGGCGGGGGTGGGAGGATCGCTCAAGGTCAGGAGTTCAAAGCCAGCCTCAGCAAGAGCGAGACCCCATCTCTACTTTTTTTTTTTTTTTTGAGACAGAGTCTCAGGCATGCACCACCACGCCTGGCTAATTTTTTCTATATATATTAGTTGTCCAATTAATTTCTTTCCATTTATAGTAGAGACGGGTCTCACTCTTGCTCAGGCTGGTTTCAAACTCCTGACCTCGAGCAATCCACCCACCTCGGCCTCCCAGAGTGCTAGGATTACAGGCGTGACCCACCATACCCGGCCCCGTCTCTACTAAAAAATAGAAATTAATTGGCCAACTAATATATATAGAAAAAACTAGCGGGGCATGGTGGTGCATGCCTGTAGTCCCAGCTACTCGGGAAGCTGAGGCAGGAGGATTGCTGAGAACCAGGAGTTTGAGTTGCGTGAGCTAGGGTGATGCCATGGCACTCTAGCCCGGGAACAAGTGAGGACTCTGTCTCCAAAAAAAAAAAAAAAAAATAGGGGAGGGGAGGGGTAGGTATATACATACATAAGTGAGATGTGCACCATCTGGGGGGATGGTCATGATGGAGACTAGACTTTTGGGGGAGGGGGGAAATGGGCATTTATTGAAACCTTAAAATCTGTACCCCCATAATATGCCAAAATAAAAAAAAATTAAAATATATATTATATATAAAATACGATAT